ACAGATTCAGACCCTGAGAAAAGATGCTGAATAGTTTCTCCAGGTTATCTTGGTCCACGATCCCCATTTCCAGGTGCAAAAGCCAGGAGGAGAATCCAGGATGGCAAATCCATGGGCTCTGTGTCCACCAGGTCATTAACCTCTCCATAAATAGCATCCCACACGCTCGTCCTGCTTTCCTTCGGCCGTGACATACCATTAAAGACATTTAAGCTGTCACTTGGACAGGGTGTGATGTCCCCTGAGGTCCCCGAAGGAGGTGACAACCATAGGAAATAGATCCTAATGGAGCCCAAGGGGAACCAAGGTCGCTCTGGGAAGATTTGTTGGGGCAGTCTCGGATGACTGGGCTCTTTCTGCCTGGGCTCCAGAGGCATTTTCCCATCTCCGGGCTCCCTGCATGGCTGAGCTGCTGCGATCCGGTCCCCTGGCAAAAGCCCATCAGGGCAGCAGGGCAAATGGTACCCACATTATGGGGCTGTGCAGGGACCCTGCAGAACCCCCATCCCGCTGAGCATCCCTGCAGCTCCTTCAGCAGAAAGATAAAGCTATCCTCACCTGCAGGATAACAAGGAACACATGGATGTGGGGCTCCTGCTCCTACCTAGAGGCAGCAGGATGGACCTAAAAGGCTCCTAAAGCATCTCTGGTTGTCCCACTGGCCCCCAAGTCTTGCACCAAGTTTTCTGCACATATATATTATATGTGGGACAACTGAGAGGCTTGAAACCACGTCTGAAGTTTGCTCCAGGCAGACACTTCCCTGTGATCTTTAAAATATACAGCATGACGCGAGGGATTTTAAATAGATCAAAATACATTTATTACATATTTATATTATTTTCTCTAGTCTATTTATATCTTTTGGAGACTCTTATATATAATATATATAATATATTTAAAATAACATAAAATTGGCCAGTTTTGTCATCTGAAATACATTTTACAAATATATATATACATTGACACATATATCTCAAATATATGTGCAATGAGACAGAGAAACACCAGAGGTGGAAAAGGTACAGATACTTCATTGCATCCATCAGCTCATCTATCGCTGCGCGTCACCGTCGCCCCAGCGACTCGCCCTTTTACCCCTGGGAAACCAGTGCTCCCAGTTGCCAACCTGCCCATGTGAACTGGGTCTCGGTCCCCAAACCCTGTGGGATCAAGCCTGTGGGAGCACCAGGGTGTTTTGGGGGGGATGATGGAGCCCCAGGAGCGGGCAGCAGCACAGATGTGCTCAGCGATGGGTGGCATCAGGTTGGGCACTGTCCTCATGTCCCCTCCCTGCTCATAACACAGCCAGATCCTGCCCTGTGCCAACCCCACCGTGGCAGCATTCCTGAATTTGGGGGGGGGGGGGGGGGTAAGAGAGCAGGATCCAGCTGGAATGCCAAACCCGGCTGCCATACACTCATTTCAGTGTGAAAGAAACGGAAGATGGAGGGGAAACACACTGGGGATTCTTTTGGTTGTCAGCACGAGAGGAAAGGAAAGAGCAGGAGGGTTTAAAAATAACCGTATTTGTTCTGCCTTATTAAAGATAGAAAAGGTGGCTCTGGATTCATCTCCTACAAAAGGTTTGAAGGTCAAGCAGGCACCGAATCGCAAAAGGTTAAGCACTAAGTGATTGTCCCAGCCCTAAAAGAAGACTAAGTGCACTAAATTCGGTTATGAGAAGCTAAGGCTCATCCCAACGGCTTCCAGCCCTGGGGATCTTCTGCCCGGGTCTCCCATGGGCAGAGGATGCTCTTCCGATCCAGGGGGTTTGGGGCACAGGGATGCGGCCGCTTTCTGCTCTCACTGGTGTATTTCGGGGGGGTGAAGCCAAGCGGGAGCAGCAGCGGGTCCAGCTCCTGGTCCCCATGGCTGGTGCTGGAGGCTGCTCCAAGCCCCAGCCGAGGGCAATCCCTATGGGATGCTGGCCAAGAGGATTAGCGGCTCTCGCCTTTCTCGGCCTCCTGCCATCCTCCAAGGATCAAGTGTAACGCTGGAGTTAACTCCATGGATGCAGCGGCCTCGGCTTGGAGGACATGGCTGATGGCTGGTTCAAGGGGAACATGTCCCCGTACTTTCCTCTAATCCCCTTCCCACCGGGATCCCGCTCCATCCCTTGGGTGACCAACACTAAACCCCACACCCCGCGAGCATCCCTGTGCCTTTCCAACCCCTCATTGGAACCCAAGTGCCAAACAAACACCACTTGGGGGCCTTTTTTCACTCCCCTCCTTCATTCTTTAACAACCCATGTGATTCCAACCCTCCCTGGGCAGCTGCCCCAATGCTCCCTGATGGTGAGAAAGAAGACCAATAGCTCAGAGCACTCACAGGTAGGCAAAAATAATGTTTATACACTATGTACCAGCGTGGTCCATGGCCAGGACGAGGACTATACAGTATATATATGACAACTCGCCAGAGCTAGATCCTCACTAGTGGGGAATGGGAAAGGGGGTATGTGAACAGGGGCCGGGAAGGGTCCGAACCCCCCATCCATGGGCACTTCCCGGCCTGGTTCACATCTTCCTACGCAGCAGTTTAAAAATACATCTGTATATATTATTCTATTCTCCCAGGTAACACTGTACAGTCATAGAAGTTTCTTTAAAAGCAATAATTTACTTAAAGACATCTCTATTTTTTCCTTCTGTTGTTTTATACAAATATTTACTGTGAGATATATATATATTTATAAAGAAAGGAACCCTCTGAGAACCCTACAGCAGCAAGATGTGCACCTTTTGTTTGTATAATAATAAGTATTTATTCAAAAGAACCTAAACCACTTAAAAGCATCTTCTTAAAAAAATAAATAGGTAGTGAGCACACACAATCTCTCTGCCCCCCCTTTTCCATCGTTCCCACCCCCCGGATGCTATGGTGCAAAAAGCAGGTGGGAAAACCATGCCCCCCAGGAGCAAAAGGATCGGTGATGGGATGGCATCCGTGTTCCCTGCCTTAGAAACATGTATGTTGTGGCCAGAGCTCAATGGCGTATCCCTGTGTGTCCCTGCTTTTGGGGCTCCCAGTGCTAACCCCGGGGATGTTTTCTCCCAGTGGCTGGCTTTTAGGGCAGCCCCATGGTGGGCAGTGTGGGGTGGTGGTGGTGATGGATGCTGTTAGGAACTGCAGGGATGATATCCCGGTCCCTTTCCCGCAGCCGAATGGTGAGATGCGATGCTTGGGGACACAGGGAAGTGGGGGGCACTGGGGAAGCTGCTCCCCAGAGCCCTTTACAAGATGGGGATGAGGACACAGGACAAATCTTGCCTTTGCCACCGAGGTTTGGACATGCCACAGCAAGATGTAATGCCAGGACACGGCTTTCCTGATGTGGGCCTTGGGGAGAGAAGCACCGGAAACCTGTCACACTGACAGGGACCCAGCTCTCAACGCCTTATCCCTAAGGATGGGTGCTATCGGGCTCCACACCCAGGGTTGGGTGTGGGATGCCTGTGGATACCAAAGCCTTTCCCACAGCCACAGGGAGCAGGGAGCCAAATTTTGGCTCCCAGAGCACCAATGAGCAGCACAGCCTGGATGGGGGGAACTCAACCTGCCTGTTCCCAGCTCCTTCCCTCTTGCAAAGGCAGGGAACAGAGCAGGAGCCAAGGCTTCCCATGCATGGGGTTGCTTTGCCTTAGCAAAAGCTAAACCAGCGTGCCACCAAGGCCAGCCTAAACCACAGCAGACAGTGGGATGAGGACACTGCCACAGAGGCAGAGCAAAGGGGGCATCACCCTGGGGAGGGATGCAAGCAGGGAAGCAGGATACCACAGAGGAGGGCTTGGTGTGGGATGAGTTTGCATCTCTAAGGCACAATCCACCTCAAGGCTGGGACGCAGGGACGGGTTGAAGTGCTAGACAGGGTGGTTGCTTTTGTCTGGCCTCAGTTGGTTTAGGGAAAGCATCTGCCTCTGAAGCAGGACTCTCCGGTGAATGGGGAATTCTTAAATCCCAGCCTGGCACAGGGACAGCTCCTGTGCTAGAAGAAGTGCAACCCACCAAGATGACTGTCACATTGGTTTCCACATTTGAAATGAGTTTTTCAAAGGCGAAAATACCAAATTGGTTGGAAAAGGGGGGGGGGGATACCCAATCTTGAGAGCTTTCCACTCTCCTTTTTGTGCTTTTCACTGTTTTGTCCCAGTTACGGCGAAACTCATGAATTCCCCATCGGAGATGCTGGGGGAGACCCAACGCTTCAGCAGCTGATGCCGCACGCCCCGTTTCCACCCTGAAGATCAGCATTTCCTGAAACTGGCTCATCGCTGTGTTTGCAATGCTTCTCTCTCTCTGGTTTGAACTTCCCTTTGCCAGTCATTATGCCACTTGCTTTTGCTTCCACGGACCTCCAATCACTTACGTCTGTTTTCTACCTATGAAGCCATTGCCAGTGGCAAACAAACCACCCCAAAATTAGATGCAGTCTTGACTTCTAGCTCTTAAATCTTGCCCAGCAAGTCACCCCCTCAAAGGACCCTGGCGGCTTATTCATTCCCTAGTTCATTTGTATAAAATACCGGATGACTTTGTTCAGATTTAATATTATTATTATTATTATTGTTATTATTATTATTATTATTTTGGTAAACAGTCTCCCAAAGAGTTTCAGTGAAAAAATTAAAAACCCTCTCACCTCTCACTCCCCTCCCTTTTATTCCCCAAATTAAAAAGCAGTACGTTAATGTTGCATGGTATTTCAAGTGTTGTTCTTGTGCAGCTGAACCCGACCGCCTGTTGGAAGGAGCAATTTTGTTGCTGTTGTTGCTGCTCAGTTAAAAACGAAAGGAAAAAAAAAAGTAAAAGAGAAAGATTTGTTTCCTGATAATTCCTCTTTTTGGATCTCGGGTCCAAGAAAACGCTTTCCCTGCAAGGAGAGCAAAGCCCCATGGGGGCACACGGGGCGAGCGCCTTCCCGCACCCCACTGACCTTCGCCATCCATCCATCCATCCATCCATCCATGCATCATCCATCAATCTCTCCGTCCATCCAACTCTCCATCCATCATCTATCCACCCATCCATCATCTACCCCTCTATCCCCCCAGAGCCACCGGCCCCACCGCGGGCACCGGGCGCGGGAGCCGCGCCGTGGCCCTGCCGCCGTCCCCTCCTGCAGACCGCTCAGTGGTTATTGCGATGAAACTGAACACTATGAACGATACTAATTTCTCAAGCATTCCTATGGCACTTGCATTGTTCTGCATAATTGGAGCGGGTTTTAGGGGAAGAGATTAGAGGAGGAAAAAAAATACCCTCGGAAAAGTCAATGGAAGGACCAAGAGTCATATTTCCGACTCCCTCCTGTATGACCGCTGATCCAACGCTATTGTGGCTTGCAGCCTGTCGAACTCGTGCCTGTTGTCTGGGCTCAGTTCCTCCAAACCCCGGCTGTCATCGTCTTCCTCTTCCTCGTCGCGGCTCATGAAGGCCAGCTCGTTCTCGTAGCAGAAGGAGTTGGTGCTGGACAGCAGGAATTTGTTCTCCACCAAGTCCTTGGCGCTGCAGCGGGGGGTGGACGGGACCTCATAGGTTTTGTGGAAGTGGGAATAGTCTACTTTGTACTGGTTTTTCTCCTCGAACAAGACTGGCTCGAAGCGGTGGCCCCAGAGGATCTCACTGGCCAGGTAGGAGCTCCGAGCTTGCGTTGTCATAGCGGTGGCTTCCACCATGCCTTCCAGAATGACCACGATCTCAAAGTCGTCCGTCTCCAAGTCCTGGCGGCTGATCCCGAACAAGGGGCTGTCTTCGTTGATCTCGTGGAGAATGGTGATGGGAGACACCAAGAAGATACGGTCCAAGCCTTTATCAAACCCCACGTCGATGTCTATTTGGTCAAGGGGTATGTACTCCCCTTCTTCTGTGATCCTGGGCTTAATTAGCTGAGCTCGTACGTGGGCTTCTACTATGTGGCTTTTCCGGAGGTTCCCAACTCTCCACATGAGGCAGAGTTTTCCATCTCTCATTGCCACTACCGCGTTATGGCTGAAAAGCAAAGTCTGGGCCCGTTTTTTGGGCCTGGCCATCTTTGCCATTATTGCACCAATCATGAAAGAGTCAATTATACACCCCACGATGGACTGAACCACCACCATGAAGACGGCGAGCGGGCACTCCTCCGTCACGCAGCGGAAGCCATAACCAATAGTCGTTTGGGTCTCGATGGAGAATAGAAAAGCAGCCACAAAGCCATTGACCTGCAGAACGCAAGGCTTGAAGGTATCATCTCCAACTGGGTTTTCCAGGTCTCCGTGAATGAGTGCAATGAGCCAGAAAATCAGCCCAAACAACAACCAGGACACTAGAAACGCCAAGGAAAAGAGCAAGAGCATATACCTCCAGCGGATGTCAACGCACGTGGTAAACATGTCCGCAATGTACCTCTGAGGCTTGTCGTCCATGTTGGTGAACTCCACGTTGCACTGGCCGTTCTTCTTTACAAACCTGTTCCTGCATTTCCTCCTGGTGTGGATTTTCCCATTGCCAAAGCCGTTGATGCCTGGCATGGTGGTCAACCTCAGCCCGTCTTCCTCGGAGGACACGATGCTGTAAGGGTTGACTCTGCCGGCAGTCATCCCTGAGCCAAGCCCACAGTGAAGGTGAAGGGTCCTGCGACACCCAGCGTCCCCCTGGCCCACCCCTGCCCACCCCCCAAGTTCTGTTGCGGTGGAAGAGGAGTCCCAAGCTTCCACGTCTTGGCTGCCACGTCAGCACGCTGATCCCGTGAGAGGCTCTGCAAGGAGAAAACAAGGACACGTCTCTTACTTCTCATGCCAAAGGTACCCAAAGGGCTGTTTGGCCATGGGTCTGACGGGGTGGGTGGCTGCATGTTGAATGAAGACACCCCCCCCCCGCAATGAGCTAACTCTCCTTCTTATGCCTAGGCATAAGAGGAAGAAGAAGGTCTTAGAGTTCATCCTTTCATACTACAGAGCGAGTGAGCAAACCTTGCTGGGGAGATGGACCATTTGTGGGAGCCTCAACGACAGCAGTGGATGAAAAGCCTTGGGTAGCACTGGAATCTCTTCCCCTTTGCTTTTCTCATGAACTCCGCTGTCAGAGCAGGGTCAGGCTGCTGGAGAGGAAAGCGGAGAGGCCAAGATGTTCTCCTCAGCAGATATCTCCTTAGAGATATCAATAAAGGTACTCCTGAAAGCGGCTCCATCAGTTCACATTGCCCGTGCCAGATGGACCGCTGCCCAGCACATTGCAGCAGCGGCCGCCCGACCTCCTGAGCACCAGCTCTTCTGGGGTCAAGGGAAAGCTCAGGGAGATGTGGATTTAACCTCCATCTCCCAGCCCCGGGATGGGAGAGGACACGGTCAACGTGCAGCCGGTTGGAGAAGGCCCCGGGAAGGCACTCACTTGGGGCAGAGGAGCAACTTTCCCAACGCATCCATTGGGACACGGAGCCATCTACGGTCACAGATGGGTTTCGTTGGCCAAAACCGATGAAGGGACAACTGCCACTGGGGAATGGGGAGCTGTTTTGATCCTTTTTAGAGGGCTCAGCTGCAGGGTCAAGGACCTACGCATGGCTTTGCCTGGGAAAGACGTGGCATGGATATAGGAGAGGAGGCCCAAGCTGGGACGGTGGGGGAACCCAGTGGCACCCTGGCAGAGGGGACCCCATCCCCTCTGCAATGGCGTGTGTAGCTGCATCAGGCAGTGAACAGCATTGTAGAAGCCACATGGCACATAAAGCACCCTATAGAGGTGGCACTGCAGGAACGCTCCCCAAACCCACCCCTGCTGCAGCTCATCCTGTTATTTAGGGACATGGGATGTGTCACTAACAATGGAACCACCTTGCTGGCAATGAGACCTGCATGGAGGAGCAGTGTGGTGGGGAATGGAGGCAGAGCCCCATGTAACACCCCATTCCCCAGCCTGGCTCACGCCTGGGGGCACAGTTGATCCCGCCGGGCTGTACACGCTATGTCGGATCCACTGGCATCAGATCGATGCAGTCGATTCCTGCAATCAGCTCAAGTGCTTGGAGCTATGCTGGGACAAGAACACCCTTTCCATTACACCATTACGTGGTGGCTGGCACCAGGGAGCATTGCCAGGCACAGCCTGCCTGGGGCTGCATCAGCCTGACTAGCAATGATACCCTGGGTTGCCTTCTTACTGAAGATCTCCCCAAATCCAGCCTGGGATTTGGGAATCCCAGCACCACAAGCAGAGCACTGACAGCCTGCCCAAACCTCCCAGGTCCTGATACACCAAACAGCATCTTTCCTCCAGCACAACCTTGTTTTATCCCCAAGCGCCGCTGTCATTTATGGTGTGTCAGCAGACCAAGGGATTGCTCACACCGATGTGAGAGCCTCTCCCTCCTTCCAGACGTTCGGAACAGCAAAATAGGCACGAACATTAATATTAACTTTGAATATTTCCAACTTGGAAGTCAAATGGGACCGAAGTGGCTGTGCAGAGCTGATGTGTCAGGACGGCTGCAGGCTCACACTGCCAAATCCGTGCTGCTCACCCATCCCCAGTATCCCTCCTGACCGCACCAGCTCCGTTCATTTATCTCCCTTCTCCTTTGTCAATGAGAGCGGAGCGTGGGGAGCCAGAAGAGGCTGTTTCTCCATCACCCCTCTGGATGTCCTTTTAGTGAAGTCCTGGTACATCGGAGAAGGGAGCGAACTGCAGAGAGCGCCCGGTGACCTGCGCAGGATTAGCTGGGGCTGGATTAACTGTGCTGGCAGGCAGACGTGCAGGGCACTGCAGAGGCAGCAGCGCTGCCTTCACCTGGGGGACAGCCCCAGGGACCCCCGGGCTCCCCAGTCACTGTCACCACTCCCCTCTGTCTTCCCCCTTTCCCCCTTCCCTCCTTCCATCCCTCCTGTCTTCCCTTCATTCTTCCTTCTTCCTGCTCTTTTATTTTTATTTTTATTTATTTTTTCTGTTTTTTTCTTCTTTTTCTCTTGTTTCTTTTTGTTTTCTTTTTTCTTCCCTTCTTCTTTCTTTCTCCTCTTCCCTAGTACTTTCTCTTTCCCTTTCTCTTTCCTTTTCCCTTTCCCTTCCCCTTTCCCTTTCCCTTTCTCTTTTTCTCTGCTTTTCCCTTTCTGCTTCCCTTTTTCTCTCCCTTTCCATTTCTGTTCCACTTCCTCTTTCCCTTTCCCTTCCCTTTTTTCTCTCCCTTTCCCTTCCCCTTTCCCTTTCCCTTTTTCTTTTTCTCTCCCTTTCCCTTCCCTTTCCCTTAACCTTAACCTTCCCCTTTCCCTTTCCATTTCCATTATTTTCCCTTTCTCCTTCAGTTTTCCTTTTTACTTTCTTTTTTCCTTTTCCCTTTCTCTTTTTTTCTCTTTCTCTCTTCCTCTCTTTCTTCCTTCCTTCCTTCCTTCCTTCCTTCCTTCCTTCCTTCCTTCCTTCCTTCCTTCCTTCCTTCCTTCCTTCCTTCCTTCCTTCCTTCCTTCCTTCCTTCCTTCCTTCCCTCCCTCCCTCCCTTCCTTCCTTCCTTCCTTCCTTCCTTCCTCCCTTCCTTCCTTCCTTCCTTCCTTCCTTCCTTCCTCCCTTCCTTCCTTCCTTCCTTCCTTCCTTCCTCCCTTCCTCCCTTCCTCCCTTCCTTCCTTCCTTCCTTCCTTCCTTCCTCCCTTCCTCCCTTCCTTCCTTCCTTCCTTTCTTCCTTCCTTCCTTCCTTCCTTCCTTCCTTCCTTCCTTCCTTCCTTCCTTCCTTTCTTCCTTCCTTCCTTCCTTCCTTCCTTCCTTCCTTTCTTCCTTCCTTCCTTCCTTCCTTCCTTCCTTCCTTCCTTCCTTCCTTCCTTCCTTCCTTCCTTCCTTTCTTCCTTCCTTCCTTCCTTCCTTCCTTCCTCCCTTCCTTCCTTCCTTCCTTCCTTCCTTCCTTCCTTCCTTCCTTCCTTCCTTCCTTCCTTCCTTCCTTCCTTCCTCCCTCCCTCCCTCCCTCCCTCCCTCCCTCCCTCCCTTCCTTCCTTCCTTCCTTCCTTCCTTCCTTCCTTCCTTCCTTCCTTCCTTCCTTCCTTCCTTCCTTCCTTCCTTCCTTCCTTCCTTCCTCTCTTTCCTCCCTTCCTTCCTTCCTTCCTTCCTTCCTTCCTTCCTTCCTTCCTTCCTTCCTTCCTTCCTTCCTTCCTTCCACCCCATCCGAGCACCCCAGAATCAGGGAACCCTTTGCTGCAGGGGGATGCCAGGACAGACCCAAGGGGCTGACACTGCTTCAGGGATGGAGCAGCTCCAGGTCCCACACGGGACCCCGCATCCACTGGGGCTGAGTCTCCCCTGGAAGCCGGCAGCAGCAGCAGCATGGGGAGACAGCAGCTAAATAAAGGCGCTCAGAGTGGCTCTGCCGGAGCAGCCGCCTGCGGCTCCTGCTTTATTTAGCCCCGTTTTGTTTGGAAAAACTCTCTCCGAGTTTGCTGAAAGCTGAGTTTCTGCTGTGGTTCCAATGGGAAGGCTCGAGCCCCACGCTGCCGCCGCGGGAGGCTCGGGCTGGGATACAGCTCATGGAAACCCGCGGCTGGATGGGCTGTGCCGTGGGTACCAGTGGGGAACCACGGCCCTATAGGGACCCTGTGCGTCCTTGGGTCACCCTCCAGCATCACCCTGGCATCTCCCAACTGATGGAGGTGTTATAAGAGGTGACATCCCCCTGTCCCTGCCTCCTCTCTGTGCGTTTCACACCCCTGAGCATCACAATTCCACCCCCTGGGAGCAAACTCAAAGCTTTCCCTAATAACCTCTTCCCCCTTAATCCTATTGTCAGTGCTGACAAACCCATGCTGGGCATTGAGCAGGTCCAGGACCATCCCCTGCTGCTCTTGTGCAGCACTAATAGTGTTAACACGTAGGAAACAAAACAAGCCCATAATATCAGTAGCGGGAAGGAACAGCCCATAGCGCCATGGACTACCCCAGCTAATGAGCTGACATTAGAGGCAATGACTCCTGCCACTAAACTGCAGCCACCAAAATCCCACCACGAAGCGAATTCCCGCAGAGAACCCAAGTGTTTCCAGCAAGCTGGATGCCTAATCTTATTTTCATTCTATTTTAAAAGGGAGTTAAATGTTAACACCAAGCTTCTGAGCAGCCTGTGAGCCAAGGACACGTGCGCAGTGCCGGGGAAGTCACTAGTTAGAGCCCATTGAATGTGTCGGTGAGATTTATCATCACACCTTTCCACCGTAACCACTGGAAGGGGATGTGTTTTAGGGCCATCAGGGATGCTGCTCCCCCTCCTGCAACCCCTCGGTGTGGATTTTCTCCCTGTGAATGGAAGGGGAATGAGCTGCGTTCAGGTGGGATGAGCCCATATGGAGACTCGGAGGAGCTGAGGCTGCGGATGGAGGTGACCATTGAAGAGGGGATGGTGCAAGGAGGTCACTCTCGGTGCTGCTGCCTGCCCTGCGCTGGGAGATAATGCTGCTATCTCCTGCAGCAATGCCCTTCATGCCCCAGCAGCGGGACAGCAATGTCAGCACCGAGGAGGGAGTTCTGCCGTGGCCACACCAGGGTGCTCAAACCCCTCCTGCTCACCCCGTCCTGATGAAGTGACCCAGCACTGAGCACCCACACAATGGGGGTCAATGGAGCTGCAGAGGGGAGGCTGCTGCCTTAATAACTTGGTCCTCCAAAGCCCTGCTTTTGGGTACTTCCAATAAATGGAGGGGGGGCCAGGCCCTTATAAATGACCCTCCAGTTTCCTCCTGCTGCCGGGGTTATTGTTCCTAAGAATGGGAGAAAACTGCTCTGTTTTGGCAAGGACATGGACAGAAAACAGCCGCAGGCATGCATCCCCCCCCATGGAACCCCATGCACCCCCTTAGCGCCAGCGAGCAGCCGAGACATCGCTGTCTGCAAGCCTTGGTGGTGGACGCAGGAGGGAAACTGAGGCACAGGGGACAAGGAAGGCCCTTGGTGAGGAATATGGAGGGAATGGGGTACCTGGAGAGGTGCTGGCTCATCCCCATCCCCCTGAGCCACGTGCGGATGCTGCCGCATGGGAGGAGAAAAGGGTCCACGTGCGGTGCTCAGCACCACCGGGGCCAGGTGGCCTCTGCAGGGTGATGGGCTTGTGCTTAAGCGCCATAAAACTGCTATATGTGCCCT